GAGCAGGGTCGACTTGCTCCTATTAGAGGGGAAAATGCACATCAGTATAAGGGCCCCTGTTGAGAAAACTCTTTTGATATTAATATATTTAAAGGTTTTTTCTATTGTATAATCAAAAATATAAAAAGAAGATTATATCATGTCACCTTCTCTATCTACCATAACATTAAAATACAATTTTCAGTCATTAATAGTTTTATTACATATTTATACAACAGCCCCCCTTATACTGATGTGCCCAGGGCCTCTACCTATGAAAAATAATTCAAAAAATTCATTATGGCATGATATTCATTATGGGATTCAAGTTCTTACTAGATATTTATAAAAAAGAACAAATTGACCATAGTCGGTAAGCATTTGTTAAGACTGATTTTCTGGCGAGAGTAGAGTAGCTATCGGTTATCGTTTGGAATAGCCTAGACTAGACTAGAGGGCCTCAATCCATCGCGGGACCCTGGGCACGTGCCCATCTGATCCTCATACTTAATGTCAAGTATGACATTAGGTATGAGGATCAGAACATTGTATATTTATACTTATTTTTATTGAGTGTCTTTTTATTTGTCAATAATAGTATGTAATATTATGTTATCTGTGATAATAGCAAAGACTCAACACGATTTTACAAACCAAACTAGGTATCCAGGGTATAGCATTAGTCAGCAATGGAAATCCAAAGTAGTTCAAGTAGTTCAACGGAAATTTTGAACATATTTTTCCGGAAGTAACACTTACACAATCAGGGCTATTTAAACCCGACCCCCTCGAGGAAGACATAATGACATTTATACAGAAACTAGTTTGGTTACACCGCTGTTGATGTACATTATCGACTATGCATTATCGCACTAACCAGAGCGGTTACAAAAAATCTGAGAGTAGATTCGAAATCAGCACGCCCAAATTAATAAACATCTGTAAAAAAACCTTACCATCAGGTGTAATAAAGGTGTAATGAGTGTGTAGCGATTTCTATGTTGATTATCGCATGCCTCTTACTTGTTATACTGTAATTATTATATAAAAAAAACATCTATTAAAAAGAGCAACACACAAGTTTCTTGCTTATTCTTCTTGTGATGAATCTGCATTCCGAATGAGTGGTAGAATCAAAATATGACTATTCAAAAGTGCTTGTAATGAGTTTATATGAATAAAGATTGTTTCTTTCTTTCTTTCTTATGCAACAAATAACAAGGTAAATTTTATTACCCAGTGTTATTTTTCCTAAATTAATTTGACATATTCTTGCCTTACTTTATATTATATCTCTTAGCTACATTCACACTAAACGATTCTTGTTCCACCCAATAAAAGAATATTCGATGTTTAATTCCGCCTTTTTAGACAACTCACTAAACCTATCTAATTACCAGAAAGTTATCAGACTCTTGTTCCAATAAAAGAACGAACATTCGCTGCTTTGGTTTAATTCCGCCTTTATAGATAGGTACCTCACTAAACCTCTCTAATTATCATAAAGTTATCAAATATCTCAGAGGGCGTCTCACTGTTGCCAATGTCAATGACATACCTACTAATATATTAATATTTAAACTCATTAATATTTATAAAACGATGAGAAAATGATTCGCCTATCTCAATTACACCTTTATTACCTTTTTAACTGTCTGTCCATCGTCACACTATACTATTTTAGATGTTATTTTGTTATTTATAATATTATAATAATACCCTATATCTCCACGCTTTTAACGGTGTGATTAAATTAAAATATCTACCAGTTATAGTTGAAATAGCTAAATAGTTGCCGGAAAGTTTTTACAATATCTTTTCTGTCAGATCGGTTAACCCATTGCGGCGAAATCACAAGGAATTAACTATTGCTAGCAATAGGATTAGATAGAATAGTATCCATTACACTAGTAATGGATACTATTCTTCTCTAGAAGAGTATCCAGGGGTTTACTAAATCTTCTCTCTTCCCGTACAAAGTCTTTTGAATGATTACTAAAAGGCGTAGTCCTTCAAAACTGTTTCATGTTAGTTAGTTCTGTAAGCACATTCTGACAAATTCAACAAGAATTAAATATAATGCTTCTCAGGGGCACCAGGATAAGCAGAGGTGACCGCGTGGAGGTCAACCCAACAATAATGGAATAAAAACTATTATATAGCATGTTTGCAAGCAATATAAACATTCGTTTCCAATGCTAATAACCCCCTCTTCTTCTGTACAAAGTCGTTTGCACGAATACTAATTCTTAAGACAAATAAAAATCTTATCTATCTACTAAAATTCTTAGACAATAATTTTTTTTAGTTTATAGTAATTAGATAATTTACGATGAAATTTTTATTTAAATATCACGTAGGTGGTAAATAGTTATGGTAGAGCGGGATACATCTGACAGTAGGGGGAAGGAATTGCTAGAAATGTACCATGTCAGGTTGACCTCCACGTGGTTCCCCCTGGAAATCATCGCGATAAATTTCTAATGATTTTTCCACGATATGCTAACTGAGCTGACTTCATGCTCATTCTATGATCTTCCACTGGTGCCAGCGTAAACCGTCAACGTACACCGTTGCACCATTCCATTATCATCCATAAGACGCATTGTGAAGCGAAGGTTATACATACATGCTCTACCTATATTGATAAAAATAGAGTTATCAACTCACTATTCAGTAATTATCACTGGGATATAATAAATAATAATAATGTCTCACGACAACTAACACAGCACCATCTAGTCCCAAGCTGAACAGAGCCTATGTTACTTAAATTATTTTTTTGTAAATACCTACTTAATACACATAGAACACACCTAAACCGATACAAACAATCATACTCATGAATACAAAAGTTTAATAACATTCCGTTTTACAAATAATTATACCAAAATACACATTATGTAACGGGATATTAATCGTGATTTTCTTTTTCTTGTCATCATAATATCTTCTCTGGAATCTCAAAATAACCACATCATTAATCCATCAACGACCGTGTAATCCAAACCTTGTTCTAAACTGATCAAATTACGTTGCTTGCTGAAATAATACCTTAAAACACTTAAGAGGGCGATTATAGCCATCGTGTAATACTTGTTTATTGAGCAATAAAGTTGAGAATCAAATTTGCGAGGAATTGAACTCGCGAACATTGGAAGTAAGGCGATGCGATGTGCTAAACCTCTAGACTACCGAAACCGCCTGGCCGATGTACTCGTATAGATAAATAAATATAAACCCTAGACAAATCAGACAACGCCCTCTAGTCCCAACTTACCTTATACAAGAAACCTGTCGTTTTTGAAAGAAATAAACTATTTAAAATTTTACTTTCAAAAACTAAAAATATTAACTTTACCATCTATTTATATATTGGAGATAGCTGTATTTGTTCATGAACATCTATCATATTTTAATTTTAAATGTAATAATAGATTAAAAAGCCAACTGGCCCTACCAGAACCTAAAATAGAAATGTTTAGGGCGAGTCCGTATTACGGATCCATTGTAATATATAACAAAATCCCGGAAACCATAAAACAAGAAGGTAAAATTAATTTATTTAAAAAAAGGCTTAAAGAATTACTGACCGAAAAATCGTACTATACAGTAAAATAATTTTTAATAGACGTACTATAGGAGCTAAGTGAACACTACAACAGATTTAAATCTTAAATTTCATTTTGGGAATGAGTCATCTACGACATTGCCATACTCTTTAAACAGAGTCCATATGTATTGTTGATTATTATATGTAAATTTATGACCGAATGAGCGGTAGATTAAAAAAAAATGTGATGACTATTCAAAAGTGCTTCAATGTAAGTTTATTTTCATAAATGATTTTCTATTTCTATTCTTGCAAATATATTCATAATATACTTAGATACAAAACAACCAAAGCAATATAAACAACCATACTCATTTATACAAATGTTTGTACCGCGTGGAATCGAAACCACTACCATCGTATGTAAGGCGATGTCCTAAACCGCTACACCACTGAGACCGTCAGAATTAGTAGTAGTAATAAATTATATAAATAATCATAATCTAATACTAACATCGAATATGGTGGAATTTATGTATATGCATGTGCAATTATAAATAAATAAATAAAGTTTAAGTAATTAATAACATATTTTACAGAAAAGTATATCCTATTTTTCGGGACTATTCTCCCAGTTGCGGTTCTGAAAGAGAACAGTTGACGTTGTATTCTACTGGGCTCATTTTTAACTATGCTTTTGGATTTATATTATCGTTTCCATCATCAAATTATATGATATGACTATGTATAGGTAAGCACGGTATGGAGGAAAAAGGTGTCCTCCAGAATGGGAACACGAGTGTCACGAGCGACACATTTTTATATTTTCTTCCATTTCTATACTTAATATCTTGAGTTTATGTTTTTGTGCTGTTTATAAAATATAATTTATAGACTTGTCACAAAACAACAATAAGGATATATATATACATAAAACGTACAAACAACAATTTACACACATTTCAAAACAGAGTAAAATGTGGACCACAACTCAGCATAATGCTGCAAACAGTTTCCAGCGCTATATTTCAATTCTGTATTATAGTTTAAATTCATAGAAAATCATAATATATGTCATATTTTATAACTTTTATTCAAAAGAACATCAACCAAGATTTTTCTACATTCTCTTGTTTAAATCTAAATTTGAGTATGGCGACAGATTTAAAACAATATATTGTTTAAAGATCTTTAAAATTAAGTCATCTGAAAACTATTGTCCCTTGTCTATCTATAATAAATTAAAAAAAAAGACAAGTTATGCCATAGAATCCAACATCTAGATACGCGGGAGCGTGTCAAAGCCGAGTTCACTATTACCACAGATAAAATAATATTACATACTCTATGCACGTCCAGTGCGAAACTGGACGGGAATGGCGCGAAAACAGAAACTAAAAAATCATTTGCATAAAAACAACCTTATGAATTAAATCTATATAAAACATTTAACATTTATGTACTGTACCTTAATATTCGTTTCTTACATCATTCCCACAAACACAAATTTTTATCAACTTAAAAAAATAACAGCCAGCACTTTTTGTAGGTTATAAAACAATAAACGTTCAATTAATAAAACCTGACACGTTCGCGGAAGTATTTTTATGGAATATCGTTATTAAATATTAGTTATTAAACGAACGCGGTCTAGTGAGGGGAAAGTGCGACTACATCGATTTCTCCATGCACGACGAATGGACTCAGAGCTGAGAGTACAGAGATGTTGCGACATTGGCAAGGGAGGCTACACGCGCTCCGTTATTGATGGTTTCGTTTTCTTAACAAAATATATTATGTACAAGATACGTTACATAATGTACAATGCATTTATTCTACCATAGAGAACGATGGACATCACTATTTCTAGTTTTTAAACGATTTCAAATAGCAGTAAGTTCGGACTTCGATAAAAGATATTTTTTGAATCAATGTTTTTTTTTATTTTATTGCAAGCTAAAGGATTTTTTTTGTTCCAAATTTAAATAAATATTACAAGTGTACATTCTTCTGGGCTGAATAGAATGTACCCAACATTGTAAATGAGTGAGAGCTAATTAAAAATTAACTTGAAATAAATATTATTTCTGTGTGATATGATTAATAATCGGTTTTGTAGAACAAATTATGTATCTTACATTCTTTTACGTTACCTAAGTTCTCGTCTACTCTTTTTAACTGAATCTTAGTACGAATGTAGCGTTTACATTATTGAATACGATTTCACGACATATGTGTTGTTCTGATGTATAAGCTGTATATTATTGTAAAGTTTCATTAAAATCCATTCAGTACTTTTTACATCCATCCATTCATTTATACTCACAAACTTCGTTTGCATATTTTTATATTCTTCTTTTTTTGTAATTTTTTATTTTTTTATTTATGCACAATAAGGGACCATCCATTAATCACGTGAGGCTTGGAAAAGGGGGGTGGAGGGGTTTGACAAAAATCACGAAATATCACAAGGGGGGGGGGGGGAGGGGAGGGGGGGGGCAGTAAGACATCACGTGCTTTTATTTTATGCCAATCAAAAACGATCTGCAACCTTTCTGTCTAGACATTTTTATCATGTTCCTTAATTTCAGAATAAAATAAGATTATACTTTATACCTGTATTTAAAGATAATATTCTAAAAATTTTAAGATTCTTTGTAGGTACTAAAATACACGTGATGTTGAGTGGGGGTGGGGGTTGTTTTAAATCTCACCAAGGGAAACGGGGGGTGCTTAAAAAAAGATCACGTGATTAATGGACGGCCCCTAAAGAGTTTTATTTTTATTATTATTATTATCCATGGCCAGTACCTGTCAGTAGTGGGATGTTACATCTTTTATTATGGAACCTCTCTTCCATGTCATAATAACTACTGCCAAACAAAACTAGTGTACGAAAATAGTATAAAAACTACTGAAACAATCATATATAATCGCCGCGATCTACTTTTTACAGTCTAATAAATATTTAGAAACAGCACTTTCATTACTCATTAATGTTTATTTAATAACAAAACTTACGAATGACCGCATGTTATATACAGCTCCACAAAAGGATATGGTTATAAAAAATATTGTTGCACTTTAAAAACCATACAAGATAAATTAGTAACGAGGTTTTCTTATCCTCATCTTCATCGCCATCAGATTCATTAACACCCCTAAAACGACTTACTGACTAAAATGGTGACCCCTAAAAGTGTATGGCATGAAATCATATTTTAGTAGAAACACATTTTTATATGTAGATACGTACATATAGACGACTTTTAAGCATTATATATATTCGTCTATATACCTAATTTAGCTTTTAGGCATACATAGTGTTGGATTAAAATCCAGTTTTGTACTGAATTACACGCTCCTAATTATATTATTATATTGATTGTAATCTGTTTTGTATGTTAATAAATAAGTAAATGTATATCCTAGACGCCTTAATGAATAAATAGATTAATATTATTTTGTTTAATTTCGCGACCATTAGCATGTGCGAGACCGCAAATGTTCAGTGCGGAAACCTTACCACCATTCTCTTTCCTATAAGTTAGTTCCCTAATTTACTTTCACTGGAATCGAATACGCGATTCGATTCTAGGAACGAAGCGAACATTTGTATTTATGAGTGTGATTGTTTGTATTGGTCTGGGTGTTTTTTATGTATATTATGTATATACATATTTTAAAAGAATATATATAGAAAATAACCTTCGCTTAACTGAATGGCTACGTGTAAATTCCAGTGATACTATTATTATATTATTATTCCGGAGGAAGATAACACGATTGGTAACCAGTAATTTCACTGCTTGCGACTCACCTCATGGTAAGTTTCCACAATACCAGCTACTTCCATTTGACCGCATTCAGAACCGAGCAGCCAGAATCATTGGTAATCAACGTCTATGTGACAGACTCGACCCATTGGCTTTGCGGCGAGATATTGCATCTCTGTGCATTTTCTACCGCATATATCACGGGGAGTGTTCTGAGGAATTGTTCGGATTAATACCAGCTGCTGAGTTTCAACACCGTACCACCCGCCAGAAACTGAAATACCATCCTGATCATCTGGATGAATGGTGGTCTTCCACAGTACGGTTTTCTAGAAACTTTTTGCCCCGCACAACCACATTGTGGAATCACCTTCCAGCAATGGTATTTCCGAACCGATATGATATTGAAACCTTTAAGAAAAGAGCTTATTCCTTTTTAAAAGGCCGACAACGTACTTGCAATTCTCCTGGTGTTGCGGGTGCTCATGGGCGGCGGTAATCACTTACCATCAGGTGAACCGCATGCTCGTTTGTCCCCTGTGGTATAAAAAAAAAAAGTAACCATAAACACCCACAAAACCTGGGGCATTGCAAGTGCGTTGTCGGCCTCTTAGCCCTTTTCTTGAAGGTTTCATTATCGTATCGGTTCAGAATATCATTGCTGGAAGATGATTCCACAATGTGGTTGTGCGTGGCAAAAAGTTTCTATTTCGGTACCACAATTAATAATCCAATTGTATTTAATAATAATTTTTTGTTATTTATTTTATGTGTATCGAATCAGTGTATTCCTTCTTTGTGTTAAATATCGTGTGACGCACCGTTAATTAAAAATGGTAAAGTCAATAATCATATAACCTGAAACGGAACGTCAGAGGCCAGAGCCAAAGTAATCTTTGTGAGTTTGACAAGTGGATGACGGATGATTGAACCACAGATAATATAATATTACATAGGAGGTAGCGGGAGTTTTGGAGCGAAAAAGTTGGAGTGTTGATATTATTATAAAATAAATAAGAGATAGGTAATTGTGAATATTGTAAGCATTGAGGTGTTTCTCATCTGACCAACCAGCATTACGCCTAAGTCGTCAGGATACTAATGATTCTAATATTTGTGTGTTCTTTCTTCTTCTAGACAAAGGCACCCACGCAGTCGACTTTTTACAAAGTCTACCATAACTATTTACTAATTAAATGTTTATTTTTTAAGATTGCAAACGTAATGATTAAATCATCGTATTAATAAGTAGTTTGGACACGCCTTAATCCGTATTTGTTTAGTTTATTCTTCAAATAAGGTGACAAACAGTCTTATGTCTAACTAAACACACAACTCCGCGATAATATGCGAAATGTTATACTGTGTTTGCACTAAAACACTTAACAATTATTTAATATTTGGCAATAAAAGAATAAGCTTTTTTTATGTATCCTTTTTAATTGATATGGTAAACACGTTTACGGCCCACCTGACTTTTTTTGTCTAACAAAAAAATTATGTGGTGATAATGGAATTTTGCGTGAGGTGAGGTAACAGTGGAGGATGATAAGATGAACATGAGGTCAGGTCAGTTAGTCTATTATGACAAATTTACCAGGAATTTATCATGATGGTCTCCATTAGTATGGATAGTTTACAGGGGGAACCACGTGGAGGTAAACAGACCTTATTACTAATAATAAATTACTAATAGGTATTACTAATAATTATCTTTCCCCCTCGGTCCACCCGATTGTAATGATATAAAAAATACATGACCCTTACAATTGTCTAACCTAATCTACCTGAAAAACAATTGAAATAATTTATTTTATTTTTATCTCAGAAATCTGTGAAAAATATACATCTCTCAAATAAATATATATCTCTCTTTTAACTTCATTATTACCACAGATAACATAATATTACATATTATTACTGTCCAATTCAAACCAGGATCTAATTTAGACAGTCTGAGCCGTGGTTCGGACCTTTCCAGGGGTGACTGCGTGGAGGTCGACCTCACATGGTAAATTGTAAGCAAAGGCATTACTATTCCCTATTCCTATAAAACAATTATGAGCACGCAGACGAAGTCGGGACGGCCACTAGTTGATTTACAAAACGTCCGCGTCTCTAGGCGTCGTAATTCAACGTTATGTGCTTATGTCACAGAATGCACCGTTGTGCAAATTATGAGTACACGGTGCGTTGCACAATGAACGTGAGCCGTTGGACAAGTAGTGACATGTTGGGAGAATTGTACTCACTGGCTATATACTAGCTGAGCGGCTAGCTTTGCCAGACGTCCCATATTACCCCGGAGGTCCCGTATTTTAGGCTTATCGATCTACGCTAGACAATTTGTCTTTTGATAATTTGTCCCGGGTAAAAAAACAAAATTCCCATATTTTTGCCATAGATTTGTTTTTTTTTTTAAATACATACATATTATACATAAAAAACACCCAGACCGATACAAACAATCATACTCACGAATACAAACGTTTGTGCCGTGCGAGGAATCGAACCCGCGACCATCGGACGTAAAGCGGTGTGCTTAACCTCTAAACCACCGAGGCTATCAAAAGGAAGGTTATACTTACCTACAGAGTGGACATAAAATAATAGACTTTCTGAATAGTATAATGCGTATGGGTATATTGTTTCTTACCTCTACTTTAGATGGTATAAGATAAAATCCTGAAATAAAAGCAATTATGAATTTGGATTTCACGTAGAAATTATATGCGATAAGATGGAATATAATTGTCTCAAATAGACATCATAAAATTTGAATTTCACGTACAAAGATCGAGTTACATAGGTCATTTTTTATTTTATTTAATGAAGCAATTAATTATTAATGAAATACCATCCTGATCATCTGGATGAATGGCGGTCTTAGTCAGT